GGCGACGAGGGACGCACTCGTCGCCGACGAGGGCCGTGCTCCTCTCGTCGTCGGCGACGAGGGACACACCCGTCGGTGAGGGACGCGCTCGTCGATGAAGAGGGACGAGCTCGTCGGCGACGAGGGACGCACTCGTCGGCGAAGGGGACGTCCTCGGCGGTGTAAAGAGGGATGCGCTCGTCGGCGAAAAGGAACACGCCCATCGGTGAAGAGGGACGCACCCGTCTTCCTTCGTCGATTGTTGGGTGAGGGAAGCCCTATCATGGGCGACAAGTTCCGTGGAAAATAAGTGGATTCTACGTCGACGAGATCCTTGGGACGATGAGCGGGGGACGAGATCCTTGTAACGATGAGCGGGGGACGAGATCCTTGGGACGATGAGCGGGGGACGAGATCCTTGGGACGATGAGCGGGGCGGATGAGAGTTCTGGTTATACCGCAACGAGAACCGGTGAGCGAGGACCAGCGGTGTTCAAAAAGAAACCAGCGGTGTTCAAGAAGAAACCAGCGTCGTGCGCCGAGAGGCGAGTGTGATGCGGGTATAGGGTGTCGTCCCAGATGTGAGCGTGGTGTCTGAGAAGCGTGCTGTCTGAGAAGCGTGCTGTCTGAGAAGCGTGGTGTCTGAGAAGCGTGGTGTCTGAGAAGCGTGGTGTCTGAGAGGCGTGCTGTCCAGCCCATCTCAGACGTCGGCCATCGAAGGGATGGCGATCCGTATTACTGCTTGAGCGGTACTTAGCAGTTAAAGGCTGCGCGTGCTCGATACTCCTGGTGACTACCCTCCCTCGTCCTGGTGAATACCCTCCCTCGTCCTGGTGATTACCCTCCCTCGTCCTGGCGAATACCCTCGTCGGACGTGTACCTTCCAAAGTCCAGCTCGTCGCCCATGAACCTTGAATGCCGACCTGCCTGCCTACTTCAATGGCGGCTGCCAGTCATCGCTGGTGGAGACTAATCAGAACCGAGAGAATCTAATCAGAATCGAGAGAATCTAATCAGAATCGAGAGAAAACCGACCGGCAGGGGTCTACTACGCACCTCGGTTAACTTGCGCTGCTCGTAAACTCCTTGAGCAAGTATATCAGTCGTCCATGGAGAGGATATGAGCGAGGGATCACGACGTTCACGGCTCGTCGTACGTGTGAGTGCATGCCAATATTCCATCGACACGTAAGGTCATGTTGTTCGAATCGTCGTCGGCACATTCTCTCTTTAATAATTCAGAAGACACCGTTACAGCGTGATGTCAACTCGGCCTCCTCATTGGCTGGCGTGACAATGCCATCAGGTGACCGCTCTCTTCGGACCGTTGGCGTCCCGACTCACGAGTCACCCAGCAAGCGCCCAGCAACACCCACTGCGCTTGATGCCCTTGACGCCGTCAGTCGCCTTCACCCATCCACCCATGATTTAGTTAGGCTGGCTGCTTGCACGTCTAACACAACCTGCTCGACTGATGCCCATGTTGCAGCTCTCCCCTCTCCTTCCGTCGCTCACGCGCTCACGAGCTACTTAGCGATACCCGGACCTCACCAGCTCATTGGGATTCGATCATGCTACGATGCATCGCGGCGGGCAAGGCATCGATGACGGCGCAGGGCAAAGCGAGGCGCCAGATGACGAGTGAGATGACACAGGACGTCGAGCGCACGACATCCCGGCGCTTGCTTCTTACTGCGATCGGCGCCGCACACCTCTGTTTAGCTGCATACACACTTCACGCATATCTCCTGCCTACGCTCTACGCCTATGCACCTACGCACACCGTCGCACTCACGCACGCACCCCGCCGCGTCCACCCGCATTGACCTCGGACGCGCACTCGGCGCCCGCTTACGTCGCTCCTGCTCACTCCGTCCCCTCCTGGCCCTGTGATACGTTGTCCTCGCGCCCTACGCGTCGACTTCGTCGGCCCGCCCTACGTGTTGATTTCCTCTGCTCATCTGGCACCGTCCCTCCACTGTGTGTATCCCGCCCACTCACGGCCAGCACGCCTCGCCCGCCTCGCCGACGCGTCGTGCTCTCATTTTCAAGCGTCTCCGGCCGACCACGACGTCTCCAGCACTAACTATGAACAAGACCTCCCCGACGGTAGCCGTAACGGGATTTGCTTGGCACCTTTTCCGAATCGCTCGCGAACCCTACGGGACGCTTCCAGCATCAAAACCGAGATGCCTACCGTCCTCGACACCAGGGCACCTCAGGCTCCCGGCTTTTGGCTCAGACCGCCCTCGGTCCACCGAATCGCTTGCACGTCGGCCGCAGCTGCATATGCCCTTGAATAGCGCGTGAACTTGCACGTACACCGCGTTTTCTGTAGCATCTCTTTTCTTCTGTGTCGTCTGCATTCAGCGACTTTCTGCAACGAATTGGATGTCCACAGCATACCGTACGAATGTTCACATTGTCTTCCCCTATGCTATTTGATCAATGTGCTACCCGCAATGCCGCTCATTTATCATTGGTGTGGCCGCCGTTGACATTGATATTCAATATAACTCGCACCGCGTACGTGACGATGCTGCACGACTCGACTCAGTCAACACAATGTCGCTCATTGCTCGAGCTCTCAGCGTTGTTATCAAGGCCTATCCGATGGTTCACCCATACTATAAGTACCATAGCATGGCTTTGTACCGTGCGGAGCACGGGTAGATGCTAGTTCTGAGAATAATTGAGGGAGATTGTCAACGGCATCGGAAGGAGCTGGGATAACGCACAATGAGGGAGGAGCGGCTCGTTGAAACAATAATTATGTTGACTGAAGTAGTCTGCATATGTGGAAGGTAGACTTAGGACGACTTTCGGGCGCATAGTAAGCGCAAGAGAGGTAAAGACGCAGCACAAGCTTGTCGGTTCTTGACTCAGGCTGAATGAAGGTCTTGATGAGTCTGAGGTCACGACTGATGCCACGAAGCAGCGAAGTCGACGTTATTGTAGTATTTGGAGTGACGAGATACAGCGGTATGTTGCCCGTGAGCAGTGCGAAATCGCAGAGAACGCGGTCACGACACCGAAGAAGAATTTGGGATGCAAGCGAGATGTCACGGCAAGTGACGGCACGTCCGGTCCGATGACCGATCGGCGATCATCTGGCCACACGGCATGCCGCATACGCATCGGATTCGCTGCCGCCTGCATCATCGCTCTGGCTTTCTCGTCCTGCCATTTCGGCAGCCTTGTCATCGGCGTTTATGCACATCTATCATGCCTGCAGCACCCTCGTCCTCTGCGAATATCGACGAGGAGCTTCCCCAGCGCGGGCGATGCAACATCCGTAGTGGCAAGCTCCCTTTCGAAGACCCTCCGTGAAGACCTTCTGCGTAACGGCGGACCCTCCGTGAAGACTCTTGCGATCCATGAGTCGGACAGAATTCTCCGATTCTGTCCTCGCCCAACGCCACCGGCAACACCGCCCTCATGTCTGGGCATCCTGGGAGCAAACGAGGAGATACAGGTTCTGCGCCGTCCTCGGCGTCAGCAAACAAGGTGCGTCGCATACGCCCTCCTCTTCATCGCGCGTCTGACCCGGTACCCAGAACGTCCGCCTGACAATCCGCCTCCCTGCCAACCGGACGCGACCTCTCGCGGCGGCCTCTGCTCCCCAGTCCATCCCCGCCTCTCACCAAACGCCCACGGGCACCAGCGGCGGAGAGCAGAAACCTCACATCCCGCTCAACGAGAAGCCGACCCAAACAAGCACTGGCATTAACCCCGGCGGCAGACCATTCACTGCGGAAGGCTCGTCCCAGTTGTCGGGCCCCAGTGCTCAGCGCGCCGCGATGCGTAGGCCACCGACGCCTCCATGGGCGGCTTTGCCGTTGATCTCGTCGGCCTCGCCGTTAATCTCGTCGGCCTCGCCGTTAATCTCGTCGGCCTCGCCGTTAATCTCGTCGGCCTCGCCGTTGATCTCGTCGGCATCGACGTTGATCTCGTTGGCACCGCCGGTCTCGTCAGCGCCGCGCGCATTGAGTGCCTCCGCGCAGTCGACCGCAGCCGCCGACGCAGAGAAGGCCAACGTCGACGCAGAGAAGGCCAACGTCGACGCAGAGAAGACAATCCACGACCCAGAGAAGACAATCGGGAGCAGGACGTGGTCCAGCGGGAGCGGGACGTGGTCACGCGGGAGCGGGAGCTGGTGAAGCGAGAGCGGGAGCAGGACGTGGTTCAGCGGGAGCGGGACGTGGTCCAGCGGGAGCAGGACGTGGTCCAGCGGGAGCAGGACGTGGTTCAGCGGGAGCGGGACGTGGTTCAGCGGGAGCGGGACGTGGTCCAGCGGGAGCGGGAGCTGGTGAAGCGCGATCGGGAGGAGGTCACGCGGGAGCGGGCGCTGGAAGAGGCGCGCGTGAGGAAGAAGCCGAGGAGGGGGTGAGGCGCGCGTCAGGAAGGAGCCGAGGAGGGAGTGAGGCCGGGTGCATGTGTTCGCGTGTGGGAGGATGGGGAACTTGTGTCCTGTGCTCTGTATGATTTGTATCCTGCGTGTATGATTTGTATCCTGTGTGTATGATTTGTATCCTGCGTGTATGATTTGTATCCTGTATGATTCGTACTTACTATCCTGTATAATTGTAAAGTTCCAGTCTTTCGATTCTACCCCCTCAATTGATTCGGCATACTTGCTTTGTTGTGAGTGTAACCCTTCCACAAAATGATACTCTTTGCTTCGGAATTTCCTCATGGAGTGGCTTATCGAGTCCTTGCCTCTGCGCGCTTGCTCAACCTTGTATGCCGATTGTAGGTGCGTAGCAAAAGCGCGGCGGTAGATGGCTGAAGAGCACGGTAGATGGCCGACGGAGCACGGTGAATGGCTGACGAGCACGGTGGACGACCGACTAGCATGGTGGACGGCTGACGATCATGGTGGCTGTCTGACGATCATGGTGGACGGCTGACGAGCATGGTGGACGGCTGACGATATTTGTTACTTATGAGAGAACTTCGACAGCAATCCTTGACAAAAGGAAAAGGACGAAAAAAACGCAACCAGGCTTTTACTTTACAAGTGCCCCACAGCCGACTTGAACGACTGACCTTCGCATCGAACGACGTACGAGTGCGACGCTCTACCACTGAGCTAGCAGGGCCATAGTTTTGGGTGTTGTCTTTGCCGATACCAGTCAATGGTACACCCTCTATACCTCACACGTCCATACCATTCGAATATATCTACCTGTGTCGTTCGTACAAGGCCTCTAGGCGCGCATAAACCAAGAAAAAAGACACAGACAGCCACCATTCAATCCTCGCAGTAGTCTCATGTCAGCCACTTCATGCCGTTCTTTCATCCGGGATCTCAGTCTCCACGCGCCCCTCCGTCCCGCGGCTCGCGAGCCAAGTCTCTGGACCCTGTATTTGGTGATCAGCGCGCGGATTTCTCCAGGTTTGAAGCCGTTATGCAAACGGCCTACAGGCCAGGTGTAGATAGTAGAATCAGGTGTAACGAAAAACGCACCTTCCGATTCTTGATTCTCTGATTTCGCATACGGCGCGTGAACCACTCGCCGGCGGTCACGGTGCCCTCGTAAGCCTGAGTGTGGATGTCAGTACTTGGTCGACTGATGAGAACTTTTTGATAGCAGATAGTGGCGACTCTCGCTTAGTGTGAGCAGGTACGGACCCGGAGAAGAGGAGATGGGTAAGGAGTAGGGTGCGCCCCTTACTGGCGGGGCGAGATGATTTTCTAGCGCCGGAACACGAGTAACAGAAACAACGACCACTCACCGAAACGTCTTCCCCCTTCTGCCTCTTTCCGTCCATAGCGGCCTTGATCATGTTGCTCTCTTCGGCAAGGGCACGCAGTACGACCTTGCGCCCTGGACGCGTGAAGAAGATGAGCGACGTGCGCGGTATGTGACGCTGCGGAGGAGGCGGGGGACTGGGTAGGGGCAGCCCGAGGCGTCAGCAAACGCTTCGACAAAGGACAGTAAACTCTTCGCTGAACGACGCGAGGACTCACATCACGCGATGCACGTTCGATCTCAGTATGCCACCGCTGAGGATAGAAAGCCCGTCGCCGACGTTACAAACCGCATGACCTGGTAAGGGCTTCAAGTGGTTTTGTCAGTCTAGAACCAAGCCAAGGCGTGAAACGGACAACATAAAGAGGCCGAAGCCAAAGTAATCGAGGACAAATGTCAAAAAAAAAACACCACGAAATGCCTTATAGACGTTCGGGTTAGGCCACGCACCTTCACATACTGCCACTCGTTCGTTCCGGGGGAGAGAACCTGCAGACCCCCAAGGCGATTATGTACAAAGGACTGCAAAGGTCGTCAGTGCGTGAAGCTGCATTGAAGTGAAGCTGCATTGAAACGGAAGGGTGCCCGAAATTGGAAGTATGCCCGAAATTGGAAGCATGCTTACCAGCGACCCAAAATCAGTATGCGCCCCGATCCCCTTCTTCAGCGCGTCCTCTGGCGCGTGCGGCACGGCGTTGCGCGTAAAGCGCGACTCGCTCGCCGAGGGCTCGCCGAGCGCGTGTCGCGCCTCGAGTTCGCCCCCTCGCAGACCCAGCCGCCGCTCCAGAGAGCGCAGAAGCGTGATATTGACCTCACGCGCGCGACGAACGAATGAGGTGACGACGGCAAAGTCGACATTGGGCGGATAGCGCGCAGTCTCCGGCGGGTAGCGCGCAGTCTTCGGCGGATAGCGCGCAGTCACGGCAGCGGAGGAAAGACGAGGCAGTATGTCGTCCTGGGCGATGTTGAGAAACTCGATGGTGTCGCGTGCTCCGGCGGCGTTTGTGGCGTTCGCGCCTGCGACTTTATACCTGGGAGATGTTAGCACTGGACATGAATAGAGGCAGCAGACATGAATAGAGGCAGAAAGAATAGCAAGGTGGAGTGAAGGAGTGAAGGAGTGAAGGAGTTGAAGAAGGGTTTCGTCGACAAAGCGCTGGATGAGGTACTCACCCGAACGAGTTCCCCTCGTCGCCTTGTTCGTACTTCATCTTTTCCTCGAGTGGGAGTCGCATGACGGCATCGCCCATGGCAAACATATCGTCGACGGCGGCGTCGGTCCCGTGGTTTTTGAGACTTGAGGAAGGACGAGTGTAAGAAGAAGTTGACGAGTGTAAGAAGAAGTTGCGCGCCGATCAACAAAGCAGAAATCGAGTAAGTTCACAAAGCACGCACTACCAAAACCCCAACGTGGTCGCTGCCTGCCAAAGGCGGTCAATCTCGACTGAGTGTCCGGCACGAATGCGCTCGTAGTCGACGACAATGAGAGGGTGCGTTGGAACGTTGTCGGGGAAGGGCGGAAAAAGCGATGTCGTCTGGACTCCTATGGGAGACGCCGGCTGACTACCTATGGGAGACGAAGGCGATAGCGGCGTCGCTCGGCGCACCAGTGCGCTGCGAGATACGCATCGCCCAGACGGGACGAGCGCAGTCATCCTCGCTGGCGCTGAAGCACTGTAAACCGTGATAAGACCAGCGCACGGACTACGATATGCGGACGGACTCACCTGGGGATGGGCCGAGCAATCAGAGCAAATGCTCGTCGTACTGGGTTGAGGCGGGCCATAATCTGCGAGGCGGGTCCGTGTGCAATGAGGCGGGTTCGTGTGCGATGAGGCAGTTCTGAGGACACAATGCGTCGCGTCCGGCTTAAGTACGAGGGAGCCTACAACGGACACGTCATTACGCGACCGTCACGTAGGCCTCGCACCTCCAAGTCCGCGGGGCCGTGGCCACAAGGAGGCCATTAGTGGATACAGCAAAGCCTCATCAGGCGTCGTCGTCCAGGTTCTCCTCGTATGTACCGCGGGTTTCCTCGTATGTACCGCGGAGGACTCATCTCGGGCTATGACCGAGGGACGAGATTCCAGCCGCGGGGCGAGACTCTTGACGAGGGTCGGGATTGCAAGCGTTGCGTGCATCAATGCATGTGCTACCCAGGAGATCATTAGCTCTGGATTCATATGACGGGGACAGAAAGGACGCACCGTGCGCATAATGCGCGACATGAGGTATTTGTGAGGTACGAGTGGGCCTGTGCTGTCCTTTAAGGTATCCCTTCTATAAGCAAGGAGGCCCTTTTTGCCGAGCTGCCGCGCTTTGACAGATTTCGAAAGTTGCCTTTCTGAGACGAAAAGCGTGTGACATTTGCGTGACATACGACCCTCAACCGTCCGGTGACCTCTCTTAACAACGCAACCTTGGACTTGGCGTGTCGCGGGTCGACGCGAGCGCCACAGGCCTGCATCCAGCCTGCATCATACCTTTAATTGCACGACGACGTAGCAAGTCGATACCGTTGGACCGTTCTTGCCTTACGATCCCTTCGCAGTTCGCACATGCACCGGGTTGGATGCGTGCCACAGGTGTGGCCAAACCACGCCTCTCAAGGACTTACTACAGGCAACGGAATGGAGATAAAAAGTCTTTGAAGACACTCGGGTTTGTAAACACGGGTCTCTCCTAGTATCATGATGTCAGGGCACAAGCGCGGGAGAGCCAGGGCAGCGCGTTGCTTGTCCAGCCTGGGTAAGACGATGTGGTTTTGCGGTGCCGGAGTCGGAAGTAGCGCCTCAATGTTGGTCGCCCGTCTCTCAACCCGCTGAAAGTCCGGCTGAACCGCGATATCGTCATGGAAAAGCCCGGAAGCCTCCGTTCCCCGCCGCGGAACCGAGCAAATACGAGACATCGCCGTTCAGAGATGCACTCACGCTTCCGCCCCACTGCAACCAAGAAGTATGAGCATTGGTGTGAACGTGAATACAAGAAAGTCATAAACTGGATACAAATATCATCAAGCTCACTATAACAGACGGAGAGGCGGTGGAGAGTTCGTCTACGCGCCCGGAAATTCTCCTATGCGACCGAACAGGCGCTCCCTTCTGTCCAAGTCGGCAAGCATCGGCGGCGCGTCCGGTAGATTTACAGCTGGGGAAAAGAGTTATGAACGTGAGCTCGGACCATGCAATGGTGTTGGCGAACTCACCGAAGAACGCCTGGGTTAACAAGCGGTGTGGCGAGTGAATACGACCAGAGTAGCATTCCGGGAGAAAAGCATACGGAGCGTACGCGCTCCCCAGGCGCGCTCAATGCGCAGCTCAACAACGACGGGCGCGGGAACCACGTCGGGCGATTCGGATCGTGTCTCGGACACCACATGCGACCTCTTCTCGCCGTCATGCAAGCCGACATGCAGCGTGGTGTCCGGGCGATAGTCAGCGTAGCGCTCCTGCACGAATCCCCGCATTTCGGAGACGAAGCGGATCACTTTCCTGGCCGTTAAGGGATCTTGAAGGTGCATGGTCAGTTTTTGGGGAATGAAGAACCAGAGATAGAGATGGAGCGAGAAAAAGAGACGAAAACACATACCGCTGCGTTTGTCATTGGTGCACACTTCTCTGTGTCCCCCCTCGGTCCAATGTGCGCGTTGACATGTCTTAGAACAGTATAGCGCTTCCCCGCACGCACAAGACCGAAGCGCGCCTGCCTCTCCGCCGCTCATGGGACACTGGAGTGCACATCAATCAGTTCCGCTAGCAGTTGGTGAACAGGTTGGACTCACCGCTGCGTTGCAGCACGTTTGCGCCAGCTCCCAGGACGTGTCCAGGGCCTGCCGCGTGTAATATCGTCTTTCGAACACGTTCACGGCTCTCTCTTCCACAAATTCATAAGTGACCGACGGCGGGACCAGAGGAAGCGTGGCATGAAAGGCGCGTATGGCGCGCGGCATACTGGCCGTCATCTGTATCTTTATGATCATCCTGTCGAGGTGCAAGGCGTTCGCCACGGTCATGCGGACCCGGACAGTAAGCGCGAAGATCCCCTTCTCCATGGCACGGACGATAGTCTTGGTACTGCGCATGCACACCGTCGCACAAACGTCCCACGCCGGCTGCCAGGTGACGCCCTCGGGCTCGGTCGTGAGGTAGTGATCAACGACGTCTATCATTGTCAGCGCGAGCTTCGTTGGCAGTCGGCCGGGCATGCCGAGGCCTGGCGCGTCGGAGAAATCAATGAGGCCGCGCAAGAGCGTGCGCACGAACGCCTCGGCGTCGTTGTCCCCGCCGAGCACGGGATGCTCGATGACCACGCGCATATACTGGGCGAAGCGGCGGAAAAAGCGGTTG